TCCTACGACTGACCCCTGCGGGACCCCCGCTGGTCACAGGTGCCCACTCTGACACCTCGCCACGTACCATGACTCGCTGCTGTCTTCCTGACAAGTATTCCCTGATCCATTGTAGTGCCTTCCCTGTTATCCCTGCTTGGTCCTCCAGTTTTTGCACCAATCTCTTGTGTGGAACTGTGTCAAATGCCTTCTTACAGTCCAAGAAAATGCAATCCACCCACCCCTCTCTCTCTTGTCTTACTGCTGTCACCATGTCATAGAACTCCAGTAGGTTTGTGACACAGGATTTCCCGTCCCTGAAACCATGTTGGCTGCTGTTGATGAGATCGTTCCTTTCTAGGTGTTCCACCACTCTTCTCCTGATAATCTTCTCCATGATTTTGCATACTATACATGTCAGTGACACTGGTCTGTAGTTTAATGCTTCATGTCTGTCTCCTTTTTTAAAGATTGGGACTACATTTGCTGTCTTCCATGCCTCAGGCAATCTCCCTGTTTCGATAGATTGTGTGTGTGTGTGTGTGTGTGTGTGTGTGTGTGTGTGTGTGTGTGTGTGTGTGTGTGTGTGTGTGTGTGTGTGTGTGTGTGTGTGTGTGATTACCTTTTTTCAGTTGCTTATTTATGTTTGCTGGAGAAGAGCTAAACTCTAGTTCTTGGCCCCTCTGTTGACCTACTGACAGGAGTGAGCCCCGCTACATTCTTGCACCACACATTGTGACCACTACGCACTGACTACCACACTGTGACCACCACACACTGTGACCACCACACACTGTGACCACCACACACTGTGACCACCACACACTGTGACCACCGCACACTGTGACCACCACACAGTGACCACCACACACTGTGACCACCACACAGTGACTACACACACATTGTGACCACCGCACACTGTGATCACCACACACTATGAGCACCACACACTGTGAGCACCACACACTGCGACCACCACACACTGCGACCACCACACACTGTGACCCCACACACTGTGACCACCACACACTGTGACCACCACACACTGTGACCACCACACACTGTGACCACCACACACTGTGACCACCGCACACTGTGACCACCACACAGTGACCACCACACACTGTGACCACCACACAGTGACTACACACACATTGTGACCACCGCACACTGTGATCACCACACACTATGAGCACCACACACTGTGAGCACCACACACTGCGACCACCACACACTGCGACCACCACACACTGTGACCCCACACACTGTGACCACCACACACTGTGACCAACATACTGTGACCACAAACTGTGACCACCACACACTGTGACCACCACACACTGTGACCACCACACTGTGACCACACACAATGTGACCACCACACACTGCGACCACCACCCACTGTGACCACCACACACTGTGGCCACCATACACTGTGACCACCACACTGTGACCACACCCACATTGTGACCACCGCACACTGTGACCACCACACTGTGACTACCACACACTGTGACCACCACACTGTGACCACATTGTGACCACCACACACTGTGACCACCACACACTGTGACCAACACACTGACCACACACATTGTGACCACCACACACTGTGACCACACTGTGACCACACACATTGTGACCACCGCACATTGTGATCACCACGCACTGTGACCACCACAAACTGTGATCACCACACACCACCGCCCACCACACACTGTGATCACCACACACTGTGATCACCACACACCACCGCCCACCACACACTGTGACCACCACATATTGTGACCATCACACACTGTAATCACCACAAACTGTGACCACCACACACTGTGGCCACCACAGTGACTACCACACACTGTGACCACCACGCACTGTGACCACCACACACTGTGGCCACCACACACTGTGACCACCATACACTGTGACCACAATACACTGTGGCCACCACACACTGTGACCACCACACACACTGTGACCACCACACACTGTGACCACCACACGCTGTGACCACCACACACTGTGACTGCCACATGTTGTGAGCACCACACACTGTGACCATCACATACTGTGACAATCACATACAGTGACCATCACACACTGTGACCACCACACATTGTGACCACCACACACTGCCACCACCACACACTGTGACCACAACACATTGTGACCCCCACACTTTGTCCACCGCACACTGTGACCATCATACACTGTGACCCCACATTGACTCGCTGTGCCAACCACACATTGTGACCACATACTGTGACCACCACACACTGTGACAACCCCATACTGTGACCATCACACACTGTGATCACCACACACTGTGATCACCACACACTGAGATCACCACACACTGTGACCACCACACACTGTGGCCACCACACTATGACTACCACACATTGTGACCACCACGCACTGTGACTACAACGCACTGTGACCACCACGCACTGTGACCACAACACACTGTGACCACCACACACTGTGGCCACCACACTGTGACTACCACACATTGTGACCACCACGCACTGTGACTACAACACACTGTGAACACTACACACTGTGACCACCACACTGTGACCACACACTCTGATCACCACACTGTGACCACACACATTGTGATCACTGGACACTGTGACCACCACACAGTGACCACCATACATTGTGACCACCACAAACTATGACCACCACACACTGTGACCACAACACATTGTGACCCCCACACACTGTGACCATCACATACTGTGACCACACATTGACTCGCTGTGCCCACCACACATTGTGACCACATACTGTGACCACCACACACTGTGGCCGCCACACTGACCACACACACTGTGACCACCGCACATTGTGATCACCACGCACTGTGACCACCACACACTGTGATCACCACACTCCACCGCCCACCACACACTGTGACCACCACATACTGTGACCATCACACACTGTGATCACCACACACTGTGACCACCACACACTGTGGCCACCACAGTGGCTACCACACACTGTGACCACCACGCACTGTGACCACCACGCACTGTGACCACCACACACTGTGGCCACCACACACTGTGGCCACCACACACTGTGACCACCACACACTGTGACTACCACACACTGTGACCACCACGCACTGTGACCACAACGCACTGTGACCACCACGCACCGTGACCACAACACACTGACCATTACACCCTGTGACCACCACACACACTGTGACCACCACACACTGTGGCCACCACAGTGGCTACCACACACTGTGACCACCACGCACTGTGACCACCACGCACTGTGACCACCACACACTGTGGCCACCACACACTGTGGCCACCACACACTGTGACCACCACACACTGTGACTACCACACACTGTGACCACAACGCACTGTGACCACAACGCACTGTGACCACCACGCACTGTGACCACAACACACTGTGACCACCGCACACTGTGACCACCACACACTGTGACCACCACAGTGTGACCACCACACACTGTGACCACCACACAGACACTGTGACCACCACACACTGACCATTACACCGTGACCACCACACACACTGTGACCACCACACACTGTGACCACCACGCACTGTGACCACCACACACTGTGACCACCACACACTGTGGCCACCACACACTGTAACCATCACACACACTGTGACCACTACACAGTGTAGTCACCGTTCACTGTGTCATTATTCACGTCGTCTCCCTATTGTTTACCTCTCAGTGATGATTATTTTTAATTCTACATCTCCCTGGCTCATCTGGAAGTGTAATTTTCAATCCTGTTCTCTTGTTCCAGGTAAAGCCGCTCCTCGTCTGCCTTGTTTCTTACCTTGAGATATGTTGGATGTTGCAGTCATATTTCTTCTTAATCTCTTATTATTACTGTTGTTATTGTTATTATTATTATTGAAATTAAGACATGTGCAACATCTGGGTATTTTTATTGTAGACGTTTCGCCATCCAGTGGCTTTATCGGTACAAATTCCAGGACATAACTTTGTAGATGAATGGTTCAGAGAACCGACATGTTGATAAATTAGACACATGTGCAACTCTTGGGTATCTTTATTGAGGAAACGTTTCGCCACACAGTGGCTTCATCAGTCCATACAAAGGAGAATCTTGAAGAACAGGAGGAGAATGAGGTAATCAGTCCCTCAACCTTGAGTCGATGTGGTCAGTCCATCAATCTTGAATAGAATACGGCATACGTGCTGAGAAGGAGCTTATAAACCGTTGGCAGGAGAGGTGCAGCAGTCATAGGTGGTGTAACATTTGTTCAATGTTGAAGTAGGTCGTGCCCAAGAATTAGGCAAGCGAAGAATTCCCAAGTATTAAGATCCCAAGAAGTTGCAGTGTCTGACAGGTTTGTAGATGAATGGTTCAGAGAACCGACATGTTGATAAATTAGACACATGTGCAACTCTTGGGTATCTTTATTGAGGAAACGTTTCCTCAATAAAGATACCCAAGAGTTGCACATGTGTCTAATTTATCAACAGGACATAACTTGAAGACAGTAGAACTATATACAGAAAAGAGGTAATCAGTCCCTCAACCTTGGAGGTGGTGCGAAGAGCATCGTAGTAGTGGCGATTCTGAAGCAGAAGCAAGGAGCTGGTGCTCTTCGCACCAACTCCAAGGTTGAGGGACTGATTACCTCATTTCTGTATATAGTTTTACTGTCTTCAAGTTATGTCCTGGAATTTGTATTAATAAAGCCACTGGATGGCGAAACGTCTACAATAAAGATACCCAGATGTTGCACATGTCTTAATTTCATCTTGTCGGTTTTGTATACCATTCTTGCAAATTATTATTATTATTGTTTTATTATTATTATTATTATTATTATTATTATTATTATTATTATTATTATTATTATTATTATTATTATTATTATTATTATTATTATTCTGATATTTAGAAGAGAGAGCTAAGCTTTTTTAGAATCAAAGAGACAAAGCGTGACACACTTACTAACTTCCTTGCAAACATCAACAGGTGCGATCTACGGGTAACTTAGCTGGGGTGATGTCTCCAGCAGGTGGACAGATGGGTACCAAGGTAGAGGAGAAGATCCAGTGCTTCCCACTCTTCTCCTACCTTTTGGCTCTCAACGCCACCTCCCTTCACTACATCAGTCTCGATGTAGAAGGCGCCGAGTGTGATATTCTCCTGAGTTTACCCTGGAAGAGGGTCAACGTGAGTGTGTTGAGCATTGAGCACCGGGATCAAAATACCTGCTTCAGAGAGTATTATGAGATGCCTTTTGGAAGTATGGCAGTCACACCTCAGAGGGAAGAAAACGGAAAGGCTGTGGATTCAGCAGTACCACACAAAACGCAACAGAGTAAGGATCAGGGCCCCACCATACCACACACGGCACAACAAGACGTTGTCGTCCAAACAAGAGTTGTGTACACTAACCAGCACGACCCAGCATCAGGGAAAGACGACTACTTCGTCAGATTCATGAAGGAAAGAGGCTACGTCCTCTACGACTACTGGGACGGTGATTACACATACATCAAGATGAATTCCAGTGTCTGTGAGAGGCACTGTGGGGAAAGCCTGCCTGCGGGAGTGGAACTTGGCTCTCGTGGCTAGAGAACGGAGTGGAAGTCAGTGGTATAAAATACCGACGCAATGGAAAAATAAACACATAAGCAGTATAATGTGATCCTTTAATGACAACGTTTCGCCCACACAGTGGGCATTGTGTGGGCGAAACGTTGTCAATAATGGATCACATTATACTGCTTATGTGTTTATTTTTCTAGAGAACGGAGTATCGAGCCTCCATCACTCCTTGTCCTGAATTAACCCCAATACACGGGTTTAGCGCTTCGTATATATGAAAATATGAGAAAAATTGACACGCTAAATAAACCGACAACAGTATATGCAGATTCACAAAAAAAGCGCTAAACCTGCAAGACAAAAAAAGGGCTTAATTAATAAAGCCTTAATCAGGGCGAAACGTCGTCTATTGGAAAAAAGGACTCTGCTACGTTTCTCATTTCTAAACCCGTAAAGAATCACACAGCACCTGGGGAGGGAGTAAACTGGTTTGATCCGAGGAAAGGGCAGCTCCATTTTCCCTTGGACTTAAATTTTTTAATTAGTGAGAGAAAGATTCAAGACAATATGTGGTTAATTATTTAGAAAAAAACTGGGATAAAATATTTGGTGTAAGTGGTTAATTACCGAGAGGTTAATTACAGGTAGGTTAATTACCGGAAGGTTAATTAAGAGGTTATGTATATTATCCACGTTATTAGTGTATTAAATATATTTATATGTGTTTTTTTTTTGTGGATCTTTTTCCTCAGTATTATTTTTGCTGGTGGTTAATATAGCATTCAAGTGGATATTAAGTGGTTGAAGTGGATATTAAGTGGTTGAAGTGGATATTAAGTGGTTGAAGTGGATACTATATGGCTGAAGTGGATTTTTAAGATTATTATTATTATAATCAAAAAGAGGCGCTAAGCCACAAGGACTATACAGATGGATTTTTAAGAGATTGAAGCGGTCTATAGGGAGGTGAAGAGGAAGGTTCCGTATCCCTCTGGTGTGAAGCGGACGAAACTCATCCCTATTGACACTTAGCTCATCAGAGCATTCAGTCCTCTTGATTGGTTGGTTAATAGGGTTTATAGCCTATCGACTACACGAGGGTCATTAAGATTGCAGGTGACCTTTTCTACACTGGTCAAGAATACTTTAATCCTTAAAATTGGGATTAAAGTAAACTCGTAGTGTATATGCACTGAGAGAAATATACCTCAGGGTGTATATACTCTATCTCGTTCTCCTTGTAAGGCTTGTTTCTTTCCACCTGTTGTCTATGTTCCCCATCAGTAAAATAGGTACCTGGGTGTCAGTCGACTGGTGTGGGTCGCATCCTGGGACACTGACCTACTTTGCCCGAAATGCTGAGCATAACAAAAGACTTTCTATATAGTAGTATGTCATTGTTGTCAGCTAGGACTGTATACCTTGTACATGTACTTGTAGAAATAAAGATATTATTATTATTGTAGGAGGAATCGAAACTGATATTTACATGATGGGAAATTCCACCAAAATAAGGTCATTACATTGTGTCCCCGACGAGGGTGGTACAGGAGGCGGTCCTGGAGAAGACCGGGTACACGAGGGTCGTCACTCAGCTTGCAGCTCCTCCTCTATCCCTCACTCATTAATCCTTCCTTCGTCTCTCCCCTCCCTTGTGTCTTCCTCAAAACAACCTCGACTCGATCAGTCGTGTCACCAGCGGGGAGTGGCAGCGTCTCAGCCGAGCCTTTGGACGCAAACATCCCTCTGGGGAGGGAGAGACGACCTCTACCAGTCGCTCAGTCACCGAGGACGACCACCCGACACGTCGCGATGCTGAGGACTTGGAAGGTGAGGAGCCAGAGAACAGTATCACCTCCTCCTTGGGATTCCAGAATGGAAAACCCTTTAACTGTCTGAAATCAGCCGCCAGGAAGGTCCGTCGCGGCATGGAGTGTTTACTGAGATGGTTCAAAAGGGGCAAGGCTACCCACGACAGGAGGATGGAGAAGAGACAGGAGCGACGCAATAGATGGCGCACTAACGACTGGCTGGAGGGAGCACTCAACCCAGTTCCCGACCCTCAGGTGGAGATCATTGTGGAAGAGTTCCGAGTTTACAGGGATGCCCGCTTGAAGGAAGGTGCAAAACAGATCACAAGCGGTACCTGTCGTACTCCACCATTACCGTGACCAGAAACTAGGGCGGTGAACCACTATTTCTATTTCTCAGGAAAGTCCAGTCACACTGTAAGGACGACCTCCGGGATTCTGACGGTCACCAGGTCGAACTCTTAACACATAGTCTTGTTAAATTGAAGTCTTTATAAATAACAAAAAGGCACAATACCGTGACTGGAACGATACACAAATAACCCGCACATAAAAGAGAGAAGCTTACTCCCTTTCTTGGTACTTTTTCTCCTGCCCACCTCCGTCACTCTCAAGACTTCATTGAACGGGTTCGCTCTCTCCCAACCTGTAAGATGCTTAGTCTTGACGTTGAGTCCCTCTTCACCAATGTCCCTCTTGATGTTGTCCTTGATTTCCTTAGAGAGAAGGCCCATGAAGGGTTTCTTCATCTCCCTATCCCCACTGATGTCTTTCTTGATCTGATCCGCCTCTGTGTGGACTCTAACTCCTTTTCCTTCCAAGGGAAATATTATTCTCAAACCTTCGGTGTCGCTATGGGCTCTCCTCTCTCTCCTGTCCTTGCTAATCTTTACATGGAATACTTCGAGACTGTTCTTCTTCCTACCCTCGATGTGCAACCTTCACTCTGGCTCCGCTATGTGGATGACATCTTTGCTCTGTGGCCTCATGACTCCAGTCTCTTCCAACCTTTTCTTGAAGCTCTTAATAATCTTGCCCCTTCCATTAAGTTTAAAGCTGAATGGGAATCTAATTCCTTGCTTCCTTTCCTTGATGTCCATGTCCACCGCTCAGATACAGGTTTTTCCTTTTCCGTTTACCGTAAACCTATGCACAGTGGCATGTACATTCACTACTTTTCCTATCATGCTTCCCCTGTCAAGAAAAGTGTTCTTATCTCCCTCTTTCTCCGTGCCCTCCGCATCTGTGATCCTCAGTTCCTTCCAGCAGAAATTTCCACTCTTCATAATTCGTTCTCCCGTCTTGGCTACCCTTCCCATTTCATAGACTCTGTCTTCTCACGTGCTAAACGCAATTTCTTCTCTCCCAAACTCTCTACTCATGAGAACTCTTCTATCCTCTGCCTTCCCTACATTTCCGGTCTTTCTAATCTCAACAATTCTCTCCGTCCCTTAGACATCAAGCTTACCTTCCGCCAGACTAACACTCTTCGCACTAATCTCGTTCATACCTCTCCTCCCTCTACAGATGTTCCTGGTGTCTACTCTATTTCTTGCTCCTCCTGTCCTCTTCAATACTTCGGAGAAACTGGTCGATCTCTTTCTGACAGACTTAGGGAGCACAAAAATAGTGTTAGGCTTGCCGACACTAACAATGCTCTTTTCTGTCACGTCAGAGATCATAGCCATCCTATTGACTGGTCTTCTGCTAAAACTGTCTTCCCTACTTCCAACTCGAACAGTCGCCGTCTAGTTGAATCCTCTCTAATACACAACTTTCCTTGTATGAACCTTAGCCCTGGCTTCGTCTCTGTAGATGCCTTCCTCTCCCACTACATTGTAAAATGCTCCAAACTTCAGAACACCCGTGACTTAACCTGAATCTTCAATATTTCTTTTTCTTTTTCTTCTTCTTCCTCTTCCCCTTTCCTTTTTCCTTTTCTCCTCTGGGTTGTCTTTCTCTCTCCTACCTCGTGTTTCTGTTCCTTCTTCATTTATTTCACCACTTCCCCTTTCACGCACCTCTGTGCGCTTGCTGTCCCTCTGTGGGCATCTAGCTCTCTTGCAGTGCTCCCCTTCCTTTGTATTTGACTGGCTCGTCCTCCTTATTTCCCACTTCTACCACTACCACTACTACTACCTCTTCTTCTTCTACTACTACTACAACTACTGATGAAATTGGGACACGTGTGCGGCGTCTGGTTGTCTTTGTTGTGGACGTTTCGCCATCCAGTGGCTGGCTGGATGGCGAAACGTCTATGATGGGGATGCCCGGGTGTTGTGCATGTGTCTTAATTTCATCTTGTCGGTATTATTTACAACTCTTGTACTACTACTACTACCACCACCTCTTCCTGCCTATATATAGCCGTCCTGCTCCACCTCTGGTTAGTGTGACTTTGTGAATGGTCCAAGTCGGACCGAAACGTCGTCGTAAGTTTCTCTCTTTTATGTGCGGGTTATTTGTGTATGAAGTCCTTATAGTACGGCAATCGCAGCTCAGCCGGAAGGAAACCCTTAAAAAACTTCCTCAGCTACTGAACCCACTGTGTCATGCTAGGCGATATTCTCAACGCCCGTGGGGTTAGGCATGAGCCTGTAAAGATCATAATGAAACCTCTTTACTCAGTATGACAGGTTTCATTACTGCATAATGAAACCCATCTTGTGGCATACATTCATTATCAATTGCTATATTATTATTATTATTATTAATTATTATTTACAATTTGATAAGAAGAGCTAACATCGTAGGGATCATGTAGCAAATGTGGAATGGGGGCAAAAAGATTCAATTCAGGAGCTCTGGATCCAAGAAATTGGATCCAGAACCCCTCGCTAGTGGCATGGACCCTCCCGTGAGTGGACACGATATGGTTATTAAATCTGCATTTCCTCGTTATATTAAAAAAAAACATAAATTCTTTAATCTGTAACAAGAGGGATTAAAATATGAGTACATACACACACTTCCCATCACATACACACACTTCCTAGCGCATACACGCACTCGACGGTACATTATGCCTTGCGGAATAATATACTGTAATTTCCAATTCATTTTGACAGTTATATATGTTGATTTCCTTGGTACAATTTACTGAAAGTTTGTACTTTCTAGAGAAACTTTATGACGATGTTTCGGTCCGTCCTGAACCATTGTCAAGTCACAATTGGGATACACTGAAGAGGCGGTGGAATAAGGCAGTGGTGGAGTTGTAATAGTAGTAGTAATAAACGTAGTAGTAGTAGTAGTAGTAGTAGTAGTAGTAGTAGTAGTAGTAAACGTAACAG